GGGTAGCAGGGGCGGGCGAATGTATCTTCCCGGCAGGGGGGGGACGTCCCCGGCAACGCACCATAGACGTCCTGGTGGTCGGCCTCGAGGAAGCCCCGGCGTAGACGGCGCTGGTGGTCCCGGAGCCGAGAGACCGGCGTGGCGAGGATGGTGTAGCGCCAGCGGAAGAGGCAGTTCAGCGCGGCGATGAAACGATTAAACTGGTCCACCGACAGGCGAGAGCGGATGTACCTGCGAAGGATGTATATACAGGAGGGGAGAGGATGCATGGGGTGAGACCTCCGCCGGGACAGGCGGCCAATGGGGGGAGGAGCAGGGGGCGGGCGCGCACGGGGGGACCGGGGCAATCATGTCCTCGGTGACCAGGGGAAGGGGCGGCGGCGGCGAGCCCGGCAGGTAGGAGGATATCCGGGTCAGGGGGGCCGGGTCGGCCGGGGCCACGGCCGAGGCGGCCGGAGCGCGTGGAGCCGCGTGCGGTGCGGCGCTCACGGCCAGGCGGAAATCCGACGCCGTGGAGGCGGGGCGCTTGGCCGGTGGGGCCGGCCCGGGGGCCGGCTGCGAGGGGGGGCGCTTTTCGGCCCCGGCCGTCGGCACCGGCGGAGCTGGTGCCATCGAGCTGCCAGGGCCCGGGGCGCCGGCCGCCGGGCCCGGGGCCGGGGCGCCCGAGGCGGCGGCGGCGGTGGCCGCCTGCAGCGAGGCCAGGCGCGCGGTCAGCCAGCGCTGCTGCGCGGCCAGCTGGCTCTCCATGGTCTGTGCGGCAGGGGGGGGCGGGGGGGAGAGAGCCCGGGGGTGAGGGGCGAGCAAGAACGAGAGGGACCGCAAGGGAAGAGCAAGGGCAACGCCGGGACCACGCCCAAGGTACCTGCATCTTGGTGCGGTCGATGACCAGCTGGCTGGAGAGCTCCGCGCGCAGGAGGGCAAAGTCCCCCTCGAGGTGCGTCAGCAGCGCGGCCACCTGGCGCAGGCGCGCCGCGCAGCCGCACTTGACATCGGGCCCGCAGGGGCAGGGCCCGGCTCCGGGGGGCGCCGGCGCGTTGCGCAGGCCGACGGCCACCTCCAGGAAGGAGATGCTGCGCAGGATGCGCGTCAGGGCCTCGTCCATTTGCGTGGGGGCGGG